ATTAATTTCTTGTGTATTTATTTGGATTTAAAAACTGTACATCTGTGTAGATCTCTTCCTTCCTTCCTTCCTTTCTTCCTCCCTCCCTCCCTCCCTTCCTTCCTTCCCCCAGGTCCCCTTACATGCTGAGCACATGCTCTACCTCTGAGCTACACCCCCAGCCCTAGATATATTCTTTTTCTAAAAAGCAATAGCATTCTATACACACTTCTGCATTTTGCTTTTTCACTCACATATCTGGAAGATATTTCTATATCAGTACGCATAATTGATCTCATTGTTTAAATAGCTGCAAACCACTCTGCATATGAATGCATCCTCACTGATCTCACTAGTCTCTTATGGCTAGACATTTAACAATTGTTTGCCATTCAAATCAATCCTGCTGTTATACATAGGCCCTTTTGTACATGTTCAGATATACATTTAGAATACATTTTTTTAATATTTATTTTTTAGGTGTAGATGGACACAACATAATGCCTTTATTTTTTTATGTGGTACTGAGGATCGAAACCAGGTCCCGCCTGTGCTAGGCAAGCGCTCCACCGCTGAGCCACAATCCCAGCCCCTAGAATACATTTCCAGAAGTGAAATTGCTAAGTCAGAGTATTTGAGGCATTTTAAATTCTAATAGTTATTGCCAAATTGCTCTTTATCATGCCTGTGACACTTCACAGTCTCATCAGTGATCTATGAAACCATTTGCTCCCATGTACCCTTACTGTAACAGTGTGTTCCTCACACTTATAATTTATGCCCAACTCTTAGGTCATAATGGGACTTCAATATGGTCTTAATTTACATTTATCTTACTATGAGACAGGTTGAAGTTCTTATGTTTTAAGAACTACTTGCATTTCCTATTCTGAGAACCCTCTGTTCATGACATTTACCTATATTTCCTCTTGGGCTTGTTATTCTTTTTCCTCTTGATTCATGTCTGGTAGGATATTTATTTCTACATTTTTTTCCATCTGGACATTTGAATTAAATTGTCTACTTCTTCGCCTTTTTTATGTTGCTGTAACAAAATACTGGAGGCCAAGTACTTGAGAGAGAAAAGAGGTTTATTTGTCCTACAGTTTTAGAGGCTGAAAGTCTAAGATTGTGTGGCCCTATCTGCTTGGCCTATGCTGAGGGCCTTCTGGAATGTGTCATAACATTCTGGAAAAGCAGAAGCGACCAAGCATGGGGTGGCCTTGGTCTATAACAACCCTCTCTCATAAGCACTAACTCGATCCTTGAAGAATGACATTAATTCTTGATGAGAGTGGTCTCCCTATAACTTAATCACCTTCCACTAGACCTAGCTCCCAATATCGCTACTGGGGACCCAGCTTTCCGCACATGAACCCTTAGGGAACAAACCATATTCAAACCATAACAACTTATGTTTAGCAGGCCTTATGGCATAATTTAAGGAAAAATGGACATTTATATGTCTCTTTCCATCTAAGACATGTCTTTCTCTTTATTCAAAACATAAAGTAAATTTAAACAGGTATATTAAAAATATATATAACTACTTGTGGAGTCCACACTGAAAAGGGGCAAGAACTGAAGAAGATGAATTAAATGGTTCTGCAGTGGACCAGAAAATAGATGATGGAGTGTCCATTGGGTGGGCACTATAGACAGATTTGCAGTCTCCTATAGCCAGAGCCCAGGAGGATGTCCTCATAGATTGAATAGGAAGGAATCCTGTCCAGATTTTCAACTGTGCCACTGGTGATGCTGTACAACAGAAGTCCTAGAAGACGACTTGTTTGGATGGCAAGATCCCAGACCTCAAACCCCAGGGAGTCCGTCCTCACAAGTTCTTGCAGGGGAGATGCCACCAATTGCCACCTTTCTGCTCCCAGCAGCGATGGATCTAAGTGTTAAAAGGGGAGATTTACTCCAATGCCCTTCAGATCCAACTGTGATGCTTACCAGGGCCTCTGCTAGCCCACCTGGTATCTTTGTGTAAATTAGAAGATGGCTCACCTTCTTGAAAGACAAAGGTGCATGGCTTATTGAGAAGTATGTGAGCTGGACTTCAGTTTCTGCTAATTCTCTTGACTGAGTACTCTTGTTCCATGGACAACCTGCATCCCTGTACCTGGGAGCCTATGTACTTACTCATCTTTGGCTTTCGATTGACCCACTCTTATTATGTATTACCTCACTCAATAAAGCACTCCACAATGGTCCCCATCTTTTGTGTTCTGCTACTCAGCTAGAACTTTGTCTCTATTTCAAGACCTATTATTTGCTGGGGATCTAACTGCTACCTGATCAATTATGCATTCCATCAGTTGACTTACCTCTCCTAAACTCTGAATACAGCATATAGAATAAAATGTAAGTCTTTAAGTCATCTTGGTTACTACAAATCTAAGAATGAAACTTCTTCTATCCTATCACCCAATTTGAAAGTGGCCTGGTCTATTTGAAAACAGACTACTTAGCTTAATAGAACAAGTTTTAAGTTGCATCTTTAAGACTATTCATTTTAAGTAAACCATTCTGGTTCGAAGTCATCGGTTTAATGCCCAAACTTTAATCCCAACCTCAGGCCTCTGGGTCCAGCTGGTCTGTATGATGCCTCTCCAAAGAGTCTTGAGCTTACTCCATACAGTAAGGGGAGTCAGAATATTATAACAAAGTCTGTGTTCAATTTAACATTCCTTGTTCTTTTCCTGCAGCTTCTCCATGAAACAACATGCTTGAAAATAATTACTAATGCCCATGACTTATGGACCACCCCCACCCCAGGGGTTCTTCCCTCCTTAATCTACTTTTTAGTTATACCTTGGGGACTTTTCAGGAGGCCTACCGTTTCCATCAGCCCTTGGCAGAAGCACAGTTATACTGCTTGGTAATTAGTAATTCCCCAAACCAAGACACCACCTGCTAGCTGCCAACAGACCTAAGATGTAGGCAATGGATGTATTCAGGCCCTGCCCAACTATCAATCAGCTGACTCAGTCACTTCTTCCCAAATCCACAGGGAACAATAACTGAGGCAAGAAAGCAAGGTCAAAACCTGAAAGAGACACATTGTCTTTATCTGCTCCATTGACAGTTAAGAGCAGTCACTTCACTCCATACACAGGAGGCCAGGTTACTGCCTGGCCTGTTGGTTCTTACTTGCCTTTCCTATTATTCTGCTCAGGGATTCATCAACAACCCCACCCTCCATCTCTCTGCATTCCCCATTGGTACCTCAGGGAAAAGGAAAGAAGCTTGTCTTCATATAATGTATGTGGACCTCTGTCTTAGAGATGGCTCTGGGGGAAAATTGTGGTTTCATTCCACTGTGCTCCACTTGATTTCCAATTATTAAGTAATAACCACAGCTAGAGATGCTTATGGTGTTTTGTACAGAATTTGATCTATTTTCCCGACATGCCCTGCCCTTCATTCCCCTCCTGCATTTTTCTCTTTTGCCTCCTTGGCCTGAAAGTTCTGCCATGAGTGGCGAAATTTCTGACCAGATAGAATATCAAGCAGGTGCAGTCTCTTGAAGCACCAACAACTTTGGCTCAACAGACTGTAAATGGGTAAGTCAGGTGCATGTGCCACTAATGGTCAGTCAATAGCTTACATTTGTTAAAATACAAAAGCATCACAATTAGGCAGTATCAAAAAATGGCAGCCTTACTTAATTGATGTGATATACTCTATGTAGCTTAGAAAAGTTTTCTTCTTTAAAAAAAAATTCTTGAGAGTATAAACGTGTTCTCTTTCTTGGTGTCTTTAGCTCAAGAAGTAATTTTGTGAACTTAGTAAATCTGGAAATAAACAATGAAAGCCTGAGAGGTGGTTGCTTCCCTTAGTGGTTTAGCATCCTCAAAGCAGGCCTAATAAATATTCAGCAAGTGACTCGTGGGTCCATCCCCACGTGCATCCTTTGCATATCCATTCCAGCTACTCTTTTACAAGCAGTTTTACTTGATAATTTACAAATGTTCTGGCTGCACTCTGCACCTGCCAGTATCGCAGTAATTAGCTTAGGATGCAAAATGATTTCTAAATCAAGGTTCTGGGCTTGTAAAATCAAGAAAGCTTGATAATCAACATTGTAGCTCTTATAGCCAATGAATAATAAGATAAATAAGTAGGACAACTTGTCCTTTATGTTACATGGTGATAATACCTGACATACAAATTAGATGTTTATACAATACGTAGGTGAATTGTAGGTCAACAGTTGAAGATAGGCAAGAGGGTCGACGCTCAAGTCTTTAAAATTAAATCGCTTTCTCTTGCAGTTATCCATCCACAGCGTGAAGGTTTAGGGGTTGGGCATTTTTAGGGGGCAAAGGATTAGAGTGACATTTTAGCCAGGTAAAATCTCGAACTGGTACTGGCTGATAAAACGTGGGCATCATGCCTTACAAATAGTGGTGGGTTCAGGAGGATGCAGAAGGAGCCACCTGCCCCAAGTGCGAAGTGGGAGGAGTGTCTGGGAGGGTCGCACCGAGAGCTCCCTTCTGGGACTTGGAGCTGCTCTGGCGCATGCATGGACCGCGCAGAAGTTCGGTCCAGGAAAGAGAGAGAGGGAGGAGCGGGGAGGTGAGAGGAGAGCGGGAAAGCAAACAGGAGTGGGAGGAGGAAGAAGTGGAGAAAAGGAGGCCGGGCGAGAAGGGCGGAAGAAGAGGAGGAGAATAGAGAGGGAGGAGAGCCGGGCGGAGGAAGGGGAGGAAAGGGAGGAAAAGAAAAAGGCAGCGGAGGAGAGCGGACCCTCCCCTCCCCGCTTCCTCCTCCGCTCCAAACTCTGGCCGGCCCTCCCCGGGCTGCCACCGCCTCCCGGCTGCACCGAAAACGCCAGGCGCCGAATTCCCGGGCGCCTGGGTCCCGCCCGCCCGGCAGCGCAGCGCTGAGCCCCAGCGGCTGGCCCCGCGCGCGCCCCCGCCAGCTCCGCGGCTCTAGCACGCGCGCCCTCGCACTCGGGGCATGCGCGGTGGGCGGCGCCGCTCCGGGCCGCCTCTGCCGCCGCGAGTAGGAAGCGCGAGCGCCGGGCGCCGGGCTGTCAGTGAGCGTGGGGCCAGCGAGCGAGCCAGCGATCCAGCCAGCGATCCAGCCAGCGGCTGCGGCTCCCACTCCGGCTCCGCTCCGCGCACCGCCGGCCCGACTCTCCCCGATTGCTGCTGCTGCGCCTCCTCGCAGCGACCTCGGCCACCGGCCCTTGCCCCCCGCCCGGGGTCGCTCGCGGCCCCGCCGCCCCTCCTCCGCCCGCCCCCGCCCACCCCGGCCCTCCCGGGCTGCTGCTCCCCGGCGGAGGCAAGAGGTGGTTGGGGGGGACCATGGCTGACGTTTTCCCGGCCAACGACTCCACGGCGTCTCAGGACGTGGCCAACCGCTTCGCCCGCAAAGGGGCGCTGAGACAGAAGAACGTGCACGAAGTGAAGGACCACAAATTCATCGCCCGCTTCTTCAAGCAGCCCACCTTCTGCAGCCACTGCACCGACTTCATCTGGTAGGTGCACGCGGGGCCGGGCGCACAGACAGGCTCTCGCGGCGTTCGGGGCTGAAGACTAGTCCCTCCCTAGTCCTAGGTCCCGTCGCCCCCGGGACTGGTGCTCGGGCTCCCCCCAAGTCCAGGCGCGTCCACTCCAGGGCTGACTCACTCGGAGAACTTGGAGAGCCGGCGGGAGTCCGAACTCTTGCCTGGAATGACACGCGCGCGCCCGGCTGCCCCAAGCCACTGGTACACGCGCGGGCAGCACTCTTCAGGGAAGTCGCTGCTCCGCCACACACCCCGTGTCACAAGAGGGAGGGTGGCCCCGCGCTGTGGTGACTCTCATCCCCACCCCACCCCACCCTCCAGCCGGCTGGGGGCCCCAGCCTCCCCAGGCGCACCCGCCTGCATATGGACAGCGGGAGTAGCGGTTTGCTTGGGTGTGAGCAGGGGAGAAAGGCAAATAGAATCCTGAGGGGCCAAGTTTCCCGGAGAAACACGCCCTGGAGTAATGGGGGAACGGCTGCGATTGCGCTGCGCTGAGTCCAAGTTGCTGGCTAGACCAGCTGGGCGCGTTCAGGGGAGGGTGTTTGTGCTTCCCATCGGACTGTGACTCCACTGGAACCTTGGGTCCCTGCCTACTGTAGGCTCTATCTACTGGGCACGGAGACTTTGACTTTTGAGAGAAAGGGAAGAGTGGCGGGGGGTGGGGGTGGGGGAAGAGAGGCTGCAAACTGTTGAAAGCTTGCAGTGGGGGAGGGGGGCTAAAACAGAGCGGCGAATGGCAGAAGGGCAGAGGGAGTCATTTAAAATAGACCCTGTCAACACGAGATTAGACTTGTAACCTGTTGATGAGGACAGAGGGCTTATTTAAGAAAAATACTGTAATGGCTGAAGGTGTCAGGAGTTCGGTGATTTCCAATAAACTCAAGCATTGTGAATTGAGGGGCCCAAGGGCCTGTGGGGAATTGAGAAATTGAAGGGCTTCAGGGATTGCTGGAGACTGTGCAGTGCCCTCCTTTTTGTGAGAAAATTATAGCTTTCATCTGATTCTCAAAAGGTCGGTGATCACCACCCCCCATTTAGAAAACTGAAACTAAGGGAACTCTAGTTCCCCCAGTTTGAGTAGCAGTGGTTTTTGTTTCCTTCATAGAACACCTCTTTGTGGGGTAGGAAGTTCCTCACCAGGCAGGGCTGCAGTTGGGATTCCTTAGCTCCTTCCTCTCCTGACCAGGGGCTACATGAAGTGACAGTGCAATAGAGTGCTCCTGCCACCAGCCAGCTGTGTGGCATATGTACCTTGGGGTACCAGGGTGACCTTGGGAAGGATGGCTCTGTCTGAATCCATCCATCTGGGGAAAAGAATCTCAAAGAGAGTCTCATGAACATGGGCTAATAAAGTGCTTACTTTTCCTTTTCCTTTTTAGAAATCATTCCAAAGTACACTTTTATGAAAAGCACAGCCACCTCTATAAATGACTTCCATTGGGTGGACAGCATTTGCACCAATTGTGCTCAAAGAAGTGGGTAATTGTAGATAAGGCCACTTAAAATGAGGGTTTGGAGCACAGGGCAGAGAGAGGATATTGCATTTGATTAAGGGAGGTCTTCAGCCTCCCTTGTCAGCCATGAGATTCTGTTAAAAGAAGGCAGACTGCTGATTGCTTTTGCTGGGCATTAAGTTAGAAAAGCAACAGTCAGCATTAGCCAATCTAGCCCTTGTCTTTCCATCAATGCCCGGAGGGATCAGCTGCTGGTGCACTGATGAGGGGCTCAGGTGTACTGTGAGGGGAAAAATTAAGTTCTCGATTTACCCCTTCCCTGAGCATCCTTGCAGCACTTCTGTCACTTGGAAGTTCCAGGAAAATCTTCACCAGGGTTGTCTGCAGTGGTTTTAATTTTTTCAGCTTTTTTCCCCCCCTTATTCCTTTTATGGGTTCCTGATTTACAAGTTTTATTTGAACATTAAAACCCTGATATTTTAAAGTTAAATATTTGGATTTAGGTGTGATTTTTGGGAGAGGATGACTCCAAGTTAATTATAAAGGTATATGAAGGGCTTTGTAAATTTAAAATGCTCTGCAATGCAAAAGATCATGGCAACCTTCTAAGAAAATTTTGAAGGTAGTTCATTCTAGTGGAATAATATTTGTAATTGAATGTTCATGTCAGGGATTTCTGCTTACAGACTAAATTTTCTAAAGTCATTTACAAGAACAAAATAGCCTCTATGTGCTTTGAATGTTATTGGTTTGCAATAAAAATTAGATCATGATCATCTGAAATGCAAACAATAGGAATGATATTTCATAAAATGCTGTTTCCTTAAGCCAAAATTAAATGTTAAGAGAGGTGCTATTTGGCAAATTCTAGACAACATTTTAAACAAACTCACAACAAACCACTTTCCAGTTGTCTTGAGGGAGGGGTAAAACTATTTTCAATTGGTCTTTAGGTACAAAATTAAGCCACTTCCTTTCCCTCTAATCATAAGCTCCTTTTTGTTACTTGAATATTTAACCTCAAACTTTGAATATAGTCACATCTTTGTTTTGAAATATAGGTATCACTATCATTGATTAAAAAATTAGAAGTACAATATGTTAAAATAGTTCAGTGATCCTTCCTAGGCAAACTAGATTATTTTTCACAGTCGAATTTAACTCAGTAACCAGGTCCTGAGGCATGTTTTTCCTATCAAATCACTAGATTTCATGTACCAACCTTTTAACTCTGTAGGATACTCTGTCACATAACTTGCTTACAGCGTAGTGCCCAATGCAATGTATGCTGAGATATTTGTTCTTGTTTGTTTTTCAGGGGGTTTGGGAAACAAGGCTTCCAGTGCCAAGGTAAGCTGCCGCTTTGGATTTTCTTGTCAAGTGCATCATGAGATGAGCATTCCAAACAGGAACAGTATTTCCAGTCATCGTGTCTTTTTGATCTGAAAGATGTTATTTAGATGATATTTTTGAAATATGAGGGCCATAAATTTGGGCCTTTAAAAAAAAATCATGCAGTATTGCCTAGTAATCTGCATAGGGTGCTGCTTTTTTCCTCATTGGGGGGGAAAAAAACCTTTTCCTGTAATTTTATTTTTTGCTAAGAACATTCTTGTCAGAAACTGCTGTCTTTGTGTGGGTGTTAAGAAAAAAATGGAATCACTTTGTATTCATGTGGCATTTCTTTCTCGTTCTTCCTCTTTGTTTTTGTTCTTCTTCTCTTTTTACCTATCCTTTGGATTGGACTGTTTGCAGCTAATTTGGGGCCAGCCATCATTCTAGTAAGGTTTTGTGTAGATTGCCAGTTGCAGCCCTTATTTTAAAATTACATCAATGATTTGAGAAGGGTTGATGGCTGCAGTGTGACTGTGGTGGACTACTTCCTTAGTTGCAATGTCTGACAGCAGACATTTGTACCCAGATGGAAATCTATTAGCTTTCCTTGTGATCTATAGTTGCATTTTTACATACATCAAATATCTTAACTTTTCATTCTCTTCATTCCATTTGCTGAACTTTTAGAAAGCCACTTTGTAGCATGTGAAGGCATCACAGGTTCATTAGCTCACTCTCTGGCCTTCCGTATCTGCTTTATTATGTTTGTTTAGATCTGGTTCCATTTCCCATCTGGGCACAGGTTTATTAGTAGGGCAAGTGGAAAGTACATTTTAGCCTGGAAAATATTATCCTACCACCGTTTAATATTAAGTGATTAAAGAGAAAGAGAGGCACCATGTGGTCTTTTGGCAACTTTGAAATCATGCTAGTAAGCTGGCTACCTTCTAAAGGGTCTTCAAGTTTGTGTCTTCAGTTTTCTAATACACATATTAGATAGATAATTTATGGCATGATGATTGTTAATATCTCTACCTTTTTTATTTCCAAGAGGTGCTTAAACCCCTTATAGGATAAATAGTTTTGAGAATTGCATTGGAAAAAGATGGTTTTTCCTTTCAAAAAGAGATTAAAGAGAAAGATGTGTTGTACCAGTCTCTGGAAGAGATGAAAGGAAGATATCACCCTCTCTAGTTCTCAGAGTTGTTGACCTGAACTCTATAGGTAAAGTTTGGGACTAGGCTGGAACATGATTTTAGGAAAGTATTAAGATGTAAGATTCTGGACTAATGGGATTCACGTCTATTGTTATTTTGGTAATACTTTTGATTTGGTGGGAGTCCATGGAAACTTGTGAGAAAAATATTTACTGAATATTCTCAGATGTTACTTGTCCATGAGAAAGTGGTGGTTATCTTAAAACTACCATCTTGTTAAAAAATAATTCAGAATAGAGTTGGTTCCTCTTAGACCCTCATCTGAGTATGTTCTGTTGTGAAACCACAGCATGGCCGTATACTTGGCTGTAAGGGGTTCTTGTGGTTTCCTTCAGAAAGCATCCATTGTCCTTTTAGTGGGCCAATCAGTGGATAGTCTCACCTTAGCATAGCTCCCTTTTACCTAAATTAAAGTGACACTAATAAAAGTGTTAAGTTGTAGAAAATAAAAAGTGAAATTGCATTCCTTTCTCTCTTCCTGCTCCCCATATCATCTGTTTAAGACATCCATTTATCTACTTATTCATATGTAGTTTTTTAAAAAGATTAATATTTTAAGCCAGTCTATAACTTGTTTTTTTTCACCCAGTAGTGTATGCTGAATATCCTTCCATGTCAAAATATCAGATCCACCTATTGTATCTCTGTGTGTCCAATTTGTTCACCCATTCCTCTATTGATGGCTATTTTCACTGTTGCTAAGTTCTTAATTAGTATAAGTACTTCTATGCAGAATATCCTTGGGCACTAGCATAGATATTTCTACAGTAGATACCTAGAAGTATATTTGTGTATATTTTAATTTTCATGGGTACTGCAAAGAGGCTCTCCAGAAGGGTTTCAATTTAACATAATGTGCCTGCCCCTTCCTTTCCCTCCTCCTAGTGGAGATACTGGATGATATAAATCTTTTCAATTTTGCTAATCTAATAGGTGAAAAGAAATCTTTTTAATTTCTATCTAGGTTATTCATGATGTTGAACATTTTCCAAATGTGCCTTAGTCATTTGAATTCATTCTGAGAATTGCCTTAATTTACCTAATATTTGAAAATCAGGATTTATAAGCCAGACAAATTAGAGAAGTGACTATGTGCTTCATAAACTGTTCTTTAATTTGGTGAGGGATGCAACCTCAGATTTCTTTAAAGAATTCTCCTAGTAAATGTACAAAGTTTAATTAACAAAACTTTCTCAAGATCAACTTATTTGTAACATCTTACATTTTATTAAGTTTGTATCATCTTGTTATGTTTTTGTGTCTGCTTGTTATATTTTATGAAGTTTGTATCTTATTACATTTTGTTTAGTCTGTATTATCTGTCTTTGACCTCTAGTGGGCATATGCTAATCTATTATATTTTACTGTTGGCTGTAAATTAAGAAGCATACATTAGCTCAGGACAATGCTCTTGTTCCTATAGATATTGTTATCCATTGTTTCCCATTTTGGCTCTTACCTCAAAACTAATCTTTCTCTCAATATCTACCATACTTAAATTTTCTATTTAATGTGTGCTCTCTCTCTCTCTCTCTCTCTCTCTCTCTCTCTCTCTCTCTCTCTCTCTCTTTCTCTTTGATAGAATATTGTTATTGTTTAGGAGAAAAACTCCTCTGCATACATCCCTGGCTTAAGGACACACCCCCTAGAAATGGCAGCTGAGGTTTGAGACTTTGTATCCAGGTTTTCTTACCTGAAGATACAGTGTTTATTGTAGCTACTAGAATGTACTGCAGTGTTTTGGTTAGTAGATAAAATACCTGTAGCAAATATACTTTTTATTTTTTAAACTAGGGAGGTGCATATGCTCCAACTGAGAATCACTCATTCATGTCATAATACAGCTCTAGCTGGAGAATATTTGTCATCATTTTACTTAGCAAATGATAAGAACTGGAAGACTAAAATAATAAATGAGTGTCAGTCCTTAGAACTGGGTTCGCCCTCTGCTGTTAAGTAGGCATTATGATTTACAGGCAGGTGAAATACCAAGATTATTTCCCACATCTTCCTTGTCCCAAGACACAGCCTAATTGGAAGCAGGAAACTTTTTTGTAGAGACATTTATTGGGTTATTCCCACTTTCCCTTAGTGGAGGCCGTGCCACTCCTATTTATATTGCAGTTTAGGTGAACAACCCTGAAAACTGATACCACCAGCACAAGTAACCCAGGAGGATCTGTGGTGAGAATTTGCTGCCTGAAATGATGACACCGAGGGTCTTCAGTGCTAGAAGAAAGAGAAGTGTGTGATAGATGTAGAAGTCACAAAAATATTTTTTTCAAAGGTCCTTAGAGGTAAAGACAACCTTGTCCCTCTGTAGCTCAGAGGTGACCCTTGCTATGTGACTTGGATTTACCTTTTGATTTTTTTTTGCTTTGTTGGATCTCCTCACACATTTCATCTTCTGAGACTAACAGAGAGTTGGTGCTTGCCCACATTTTTTTTCCCCCTACCAGAGAAAAGAGAAGAGGGCAGGGCAGTAGGCTTGTGTGGTGCTGGCTTTGATGAACGTGTTTTGTCTAGAGGTCTGTTTCCAGGCACTAGCTTCTGTCCTTCACAGGCAGCTTCCAAACACCATCATCCAGGAGCAGCATGGTCCACATGGTCTCGTCCTCTGGGGCAGTGGAGCTGAAGCAGTTATCTGCTGCTTTCACCACTGGAAAAGGGAATGAGCCAACTCTTTTTTTTTTTTTCTCCCTCAGAGTTAGCAACACCCATGCACTTCTCTAATTACAGTGGTAGAAACAGCCTCTGAAAATGTGACCTGCTTATTTGAAGTGCCAAGCAGTTACTTACATAGTTTGTTACATCTGGCTAGCCTCTGCATATTTCCCCTACTTTTTTTTTTCTATTCTTGCTCTTTTGTTTATAATCATAAGTTAAAGTGAACTGCTAGCTCAGGCTCTTTGATTGAGATACCCCAGAGACACAGGATCAGAAGTAAGTCCTGCCCATAGCCATGATCCTCAGGAGCCTGTGCCTCGGAGTGGTTAACACTGGATCCCAAGAGGTTTGCAGGGAAGGGGCTCACATCTCTGTGCTTTCGCTAATGCCACTTTCAGGCAGTTTTGAATCTTCAGTCATTTTCTTGCTAAGAACACACTGTACATTACACTTCACCTATGACTCTGAGCGAAGCCCTGTGTTTCTCAGTAATTAAAGGCTAAAAACTCGGCTCCTCTTCTTCGCCAATGGCATTTTATTTTGAAGATCTGTTTCAGGGTAGCTCTTCCCTTCAGCTCTCCTGAGCAGGGTCGGGTTTTGTATTCCTTCTGGAAAAATGAAAATTGGTATTTTGAGGGAAGAAAAAGAACACGGAGTCTCCTCTTGGCTGTGTGAGCTGAGGGATTCCAGAAAAGGAGACTGACTTAAGGGTGAAAAGGGACATCGAGTTGTCCTCACCTGTCAAGTAGTATGTACATCAGGTGCCAGGATGTAGAAGGGGGCTGGAGTCCAAATTGGCAAAATCATGAGGCTGACCAATTTGAACAGTGTCATTCCCACGTGTTGGATGGGTAACTGGTCCATGTTGGAACAAGGATTGAGGGAGGCACATCTCACATGATAGTGTGGAAACCCAGCCTCATGCTTGTGAACCACAGAAGGACCTGGTCACTTCTCAGTGACCTGACCCCCCCGTTTTTCAAAGTCCATGCCAGGATTCTCCATCATCTTTTGCCTTCAAAGCAGAGGTTCGCATCTTGGCAGATTATGTTTGAAAGGTTACCTGCTCCCCAATTAAAAACTATGAGAGGTTAACTAGAGATGAACTCTTGGGGTTAATCACAGTTCCCA